AACAAGAATAATGAAAATATTACCTAATTGTGGTTTATCAAGAGTAAATTGTTATTGCCATCGGTCCAAAATGAAAATAGATTAAGAAATTATTCACAAACCAATCTCATTTTCTTTTTAATTGATCAATTTGTTGATGTTGTTGTTTCTGTGTGACAGACATCGCAGGATTCCTGATCCTTATCCCCCAATATCGTTCGTTTGAGTGCACTAGGTTCGGCCTCCATGGCCAGCTGCCAGCTGCCAGTCAGCTGATAATCGAGTTGTCGTTACTCTGGGTATAAAGGGACTCTACAGGATTCCTGATCCTTATCCCCCAATATCGTTCGTTTGAGTGCACTAGTTTCGGCCTCCATGGCCAGCTGCCAGTCAGCTGATAATCGAGTTGTCGTTACTCTGGGTATAAAGGGACTCTAGAAGGGCGCCATCGGTTCACCAATAAACCCAAAACCTGAATTTGAATTTCCTGCCCGATTTCAAATGGATGTAATTTTGAAATGCATAATAGAAAGTTGACGAAACTTGGTCAAAACACGCAAAATATTATCAACTTTCAGCGCAAGTTTAGTCTCACACCGCACGGGGCGCCGGAAGGGCGCTATAAACTCACCAATAAATCCAAAACGTGAATTCGAATTTCCCGCCGAATTTCAAATTAATTAATTTCCGCCATTATTCGCATAAACGTCAGATGTCTGGCGGGAAATTTGAACGTTATTCTGATGCAGTGGTAAAGGGCAAGCGGCCTTTATTCGCCTCGTGTGGTAGAAGCATAAAAAAAAAGAAAAGAAAAGAAAAGAAAAAAAAAATGATCACAAAATGATATTTCATTTGGCAGAAGAGTTTAATTTCAGTAATTTCTTGAGGACTTTTTATGTTACCCTTAACGATTGATTATCCAATATTTTCAAGTGATACTTGGAATTTTCATTAAAAAATTTTTTGAATAATATTGCAAATGAACATTAGGAAAAATAATGTATACTATGGGCACCTGACTACTATTATTCTATAAAAGAAGCTCATGAAACTGTTCAATATTCCAAATAAATGGTTCAGCGCGGTAAGAGGATAATATCTTGAAATAAAAGTTCAGAATATTTCGAATATTTTGAGAAAATCAATTGAACTTCATGTTTCATTTTCTAAAGCAAGTTTCAAGTAAAATTAGGGTGACTATCCGAATTAAGTCTCCTAATTTATTTTCAGATGTGCCTACTGCACCCATCTTGCGGCTTGTGTATCAGTCTTATTGGAAAGGAATGTGGATTGAACGCTTAATACTTTGAAAATTTGTTATAAGTTTTCTAGGTTCCTTTTTGATTAGTTGAAATTAAAAGGAAAATTCGAAAGGATCGACTCAATAAAAAAAAAAAAAAAAAAAAAAAAAAAAAAAAAAAAAAAAAAAAAAAAAAATCTGGAGTGGCCTTCTTGAGCCCTTTGCAGTTTGTGGCTTAATGCAGAATGAAAGCTGCACTGGGAAAAAGTTCTCAGGGATCCAGAGTCCGAACTCAAAGAAATTTTGACATGAGTAAATACTCTTGATTCAATGTGATTTTTGCTTGAATCGAGAGCCCAGTTACTTTAGGCGGATTTCATTTTGAATCTAGCAAAAATCCAATTAAATCAAAAGTATTTTTTCTTGTCTAATTTTTCAAGAGTCTGGACTCTGGATCCAAGAGCATTTATTTTCCAGTGTGACCTTAATACGATATTTTGAGCAATTTTTATGATTTTTCTCTGTTGTGTTATTTATTTATATCCACTTAAACTTTTTCGTAAAATTCAAAGATAGGTATTCAAAACACAGATCTCTTGGCAGGTACAGAAACAAATTGTTGGAGGCATTATGAAATTTGCCGGGAACCCGGAAGCGAGTCGTAAGTGCAGTCCTGGATGAGCCTCAAGACACATAGGATCTTGTACTAACCATGGATCATACAGAAATGCATTGACAGCTCTCTTCGCTATCACAACAGATTTAAGCACATCTGTCTCTCAACCCTTCAATATAGTGCTGTGCTTGGATACTGTCTCTTCTTATTTTAATGGGCGTCCTATGAAAAGAGACTTAGGTGAAAAAAATTAATCGAAAGTGAAAAATAAAAGAACTGAAAAAGAAAAATGCTCCTCCACAATCTTCACTTATTTTTTTTTGCTTTTGACAAGAAAGTAATTTTAAGCACAAATTTAGATTATTTATGCTTCATTATCTCTCCTTAGGACATTTTGAGTTTCTTGTGCTAAGTAAGATGTTTCATGAACATTCTCAAATTCACTTGACACTTGGAATTAGCGAATAAAAAAAAAACTTCAATTATACCTAGTGGGATGAATGAATGCATCAGAGATGAAAGTACATACTGATATGATTTTATTTAAAAAAAAAAAAATGGGTAACAAGGCAAAATTATGCTTGAACCCAGATCCAAACTAAAATTGAGCCTGTGAATTTCCTTCTTTCTTTTCAAAGACTCATTTTCGGTAATGATTTAGGGGTGCAATTATTTACAATAAAGATAGTTTGTGAAAAAATTAATACTTGTCATGGTGTATGTTGTATGTACAATTGATACGTACATTGACTAATTCCAAATTTGCACAGTGGTACATAGCAAATGAGAGATTTCTTCCTGACTACATGACGATAAGAAACCTGAGTGAATTCCAGGGAAATAACTAATTAACATATCACTAGGAAGAGTTTAAGAACAGGCCCTTCAGATCCAGTGTCTTTTTTTTTCACAAAATATTTACAACACTTTGCACCAAGTTTTCAAAGAGGACAAACTAATAATTCACAGCACATTTAGAACAACATCTCTATACACACAGATGTGTGCAGGGAGTTGAAAATTAAATTTTTAAGTAACAATAACAATCATCTGTACATGAACTAGTATTAACTTGGTGCGCTAGTATTACCTAAAAATAAATTGCTTTCTGACTAAATGACAAAAAAAGGATATTGGTAACAATTGAAGAAAACAGACTAATTAGCACACCAGTGGATAAGGCTCAGGGACTATATTGCTTCAGAACCATCGCTTTTTCTTCCTCACCAATTATTTACGTCACTTTGCATCCAATAAAAAGGAACTAATAATGTTTGATATATTTACAAGTTTGTCACCTTCGTACAAATAGTATCGGATGAAAAGTCACATTGAACAACAGAACTTTTAAAGCAAACACTACAGCAGGAAAGTCATGGTAACACTGAATATTTGAATCTATTCATCTTCAATGGAGCATTAAAAGACACCCAGAAAAAGGCATAGGTACTGATTATAAATTATTTATGAGACAAGAAAATAATTGCTAACTGTCCCTAGTATGATGTGCTTAAGTCAATACAGAGAACTACATTCTAGGAAGTAAACAATTCGATAGTAAAGACACTTATTGCCGTAAAACTACTGAGGCTTGAAAGAAAGATAGTTGCATCAATTTTCTCTTCCTTATTTTCTTGATGAACACGGCTAATAAGGAGTTACTCATACCAACCATGCCCTGATAGCAATGGTTGCCTACGAGTTGATATTTAGGTGAAAAAAGGAAATTTCTCAGGATCTGCCTGTAATATATCACAAACATAGGTCATTGCGAGAGACCACAGGCTGAGGATACACAAGTCAAAGGCAAAGAAAAGAAAGGCTCAACAATGCCGGGACTACAAAGACCCGAGATAGGGCAATCATGAGACGTATGTAAAATCACTTTTGATTATAATAAGAACAGAATTTTTTCAAAATATGCATACAATATACAATCAAAATATCAGATTCCAAAATTTTTAAACACCGAAATTTGGAAACAAATGCTGGTATGTAGGGCAGAGAATCTCTGAGGCATGTTAAATAAATTGATGAAGATTGTTTTGAAGATAAAAACATTAAAAACGTTAATATGGCAGTACATAATCACAAGAGCCGAGAAATAAGGAAACGGCCCGGTACGTTTGGAATGCTTTCACGTGCTTCTTAATAGCACAATCTAAGATTAGCAAGCTCTGTAAGGATTTTGGTGTATGGTACAACATCGATTGTTTGCAGCAAATGAATCTCTGGTGAAATCAGTTGAATGAAAAACTGAATAAAAAACCTGAATTTTTCTATGCAAGAGTAAGTATGAAATCATTGAAACTTGCATCCCTGCTTTAATTAAAGAACCGCTTAAGGTGCGAAAACAGATCACCACCAAAAGCAACTCTTACCAGTGGGGCATTAAGAATGAGGAAAAGATCCAGAAAAGGAGAAGGTACTTATTTTTCCTGCACTCTAAAAGAAATGAAAAAAAAATTTCTAATAAGAATGCTCAGGTAAAGGAGTGATGACCCATTACAAAAAAGAAAAATGAGTTTTAGGAACATCTGCTTCATGGTCCACGCTTGCTTTGGAATATGAGGAGTGTGGAGAGCTTTGCCCTACTTTGTGCTTTGCTGCAATAAATTAATACATTTAAGAGAACAATTTTGTACATATTTACAGAGGAGATACTTTACAGCCAAAAGCAGAGAAACTACAGAGGGTGTAAAAAGGGGGCCAGAATAGAAAGGGTTAAGAATACAATGGGTGGGGAGTTTTCCAATATTTCGTCTTAAATTAGAATTTTTGCAGGTAACAATACGAACAAATGAACAATGGAAAGCTGGATTCATTTACTTTTGGAGCAAAAAAGTTAGTAGGGGTGCAAGAATGGAATTTCTATATAATAGAGTTAAAGGATTCATTTTCTCCTCTTGCAAAATATTTCTGTAAAGTAATAAATCTCCTTTCCTTGTCAACGGTCTTTATTTTTTCGTTATGAGATGCTGTTATATTTACTGGTTCTCCTTTCTTACCTTCCTTACTACGATATGCATGGCATACACAACAATAGAACTTCTCCGGTTCCCAAGAATTTACATCTTCTACCTGCAGATAAAAAAGACAACCCTCCTTCAAGTGGACTGGTCTTTCACAGTCCATACATTCTATAAATTTTTGAGTATTATAATTTCTCGCCACATCAAATCTGACATCCTCGATATGGCATGAGCGACATACAAAAGAGAAATCTATTGAATGCCACAGCAGGGTCCTTTTGATAGTTTTCCTCTCTGCTGAAATGGAGAAGTCAGCCTTGAAAATATCATGAAAAGGTATATTGCTAGCACCAAAAGTTAAAAATCGCTCTAAAAAATAGAGACAGTAAATCCCACAATTTTCTGAGTCCCCTCTCTTCTGATACGTATGTTCGAATATTTGCAATTGTAGAGGCTTGCGAGTAAATTTGGAAAACTTTGCACACACAATAGCACCTTGTGTCTTCTCTGGTTTTCCGCCTTTGGGGTCAAGAAATATCAAAGAATTATTTCTGAAATCGATGATTATCAGACAGTAATGACCATGGCGGAGCAAAATATTAATAATTAAATCGGCATTTGATGGGTCTAAATATGACGATGATGTGGAGCCCTCTAATAACTGTCTACCAACTTCTACTGACAAGTACTTTATCCTTAAATTTCTATGGTTAAATAATTTGATGTAAAGGCTTGCGACAATGTCCATGACTAGGTAAAAAACTTGTTGATCATCATCGAGGGAAATGTAATCTTTGAAGAAAAGTTCATTATCTCTCAAGCTGGGAAAAGAGAAAGATGCAACAGCATAATTATAAATATCTACTCTCCCAGGCCTTGGAACGGGGACATAATAATTTAATTTATCTACAACTCCATTTGGCAAGCTGTAAAAACATGGAGCTTTGTTACTTTTTTCCCTCATTAGCGAAGGTTGAGGATTTCTAGCTAAGACCTTTGGAATCCGCAACGAGCTGGATATAAAACGGTTAGAGAATGGGGATGGCTGGGATGGATATTCTGGTCTTATGGCTGCTTTAAGATAATACTGATCCCTATAAAAGAGGTGATCATCATCGATGCTCTCAATTCTTTCTTCATCGGCTGAAAGTGTTTTTTCTGAGTCAGAGTCTCGGACAGCGGATGGCGATAGTTCAGTCTCATTTCTGGGCGAGCAGTTAATCGGCTGGGATGTGTTTTTTGTCACTTCATACCTGTCGCAAAGGCGACAACAGGTGGAAGAGACTTCATAAAACATCTTTAGACACGAAACATTTTGGTGACAAAAACGCGTACAGTTAATGCAGTGCTTAATGGACCCGTCATTTTCTTTCCCACAAGAGATGCAAATGTTTTTAACACTCTCCGACTTTAATAGGAGTCTCATGAGCAGCTGAGAGCGAAAACCAGCAGGATCAAAAGTGCTCCTAGATCCATTGATGTAGAACGAGGAATTATGGATTCTTTTTGGTAAGGAGCGCTGCTTTACTATTCCTTCTAAATAAAACAAGCAAAAAACGGAGGAATTGGCAAAGTCTTTTTGAATTGGGTGCTGGATGGTTGATACAGTCCACTCCTTCTGAGACAAAATTTGAGGCTGACTAACACTAAAAAAAGTAATGAAATTAACAAGGTATTTATGGAATTGTTTTAACTTTTTAAAGGTATGATTTTCTAGGGGGTCTAATAGGTAAAATGTTCGAGACGGCAAGTGAATTATTATTAAAGACCAATGGGATCTATTATTTTCATAAAACATGACAATATATTCTTCCTGTAAATGATAGGTTTTCCGTATAATGTCTTCAGATATTAGTGATACCTTGCCATCCAGAATGGCATTGCTGAATAAACATGGAATAAGAGAGAAATTCTTTTCCTTTTGTGCCGTAATGGTCAATCCTGCAAGTGCATCGATGACAGAAAAACTAAGAGATTTGTTTCCGCGAAGACTGTCAAAATCAGAGGCTTTAATGCCCCCAAGTGGATGAAAACCAAACTTTGCCACAAAATAGTTAAAGTCCTCCTCTTCCTCTGCCTCCAGGTCTGCTAGGGGAACATAAAACTCAGGATCCAAGAACATACCATTGGTCAATATAAGCGCTGATTTGCGATTAGACGCAATTCGATTTAAAGGGGAGTATTGGAGCAGTTCATTTTCAGATGAACTAGTACACTTATCTATCTGGCTCTCAAAACCGTTTTCAGTAGAAGAAAATACTTGTAAATTATGTGTGCTGGTGGTAGCAGCATTTGAATTAACAACGTTAGCGTTGGTTACAGTTTTCTGCGTGATTGGAGTGGATGGGGAAAGTGATGGAAGACTTTCGTGAACTTTCGGTAAAAATGAAGAGAGATTATTGACCTGTGTACCTTTTCGCCTCCACTGTTCTTCCACGGAGAATGGTGGAAAGTCATACGGTTTTTGAGCTGCACTACTTTGTGGACTGGTGACTGGTATAAGCTTGGAAACAATGGGTTTGGTTTTATTGTATTTTTTCACTATTGACTTTTTTGGAGTCTTAGGTTTTTTGGGTTTTTTAATTCCACCATCTAATACTTTGGACTTTCTACGGTTGGTGTGCGCACACGGGGTGGGGAGAATTCCTGAGGAAACTTCTTTTTTCCTCGTTACCACATGTCGCCTCATCCCCTTCACAATGCGATTTGCGCGGATATTTCTTTGCCCCCTGAAAATGTCCTGTTTGGCATTTTTAATCCAACCTTCTGCATACGAGTTGCTGAATCTGATGGGATCGTTGGGAAATAATGGTCTTCGAACAATGCCCGTCCACAAGGGAATAGTTGCACAGTGCAACTTCAGAAGGGTGTCAGCTAAGTTGGGAGAGCAAAATTGGTTTAGATTCATTACAGTGACAAGATTAGATACCTTCCCTTTGAAATTGGCAGGTTGGCTGGGTTTCAAGTTATTTGCTTTTGACTGGGTGGGAACACACACTGGTGGGCTCGGTTTCAAAGTGCTGGGATTGGGCTGAGCGGGAACGTGTCCTGGTGGATTCTGTGTAGTATCAATGAGATGGCTGGATTTAAAATTATCAGGTACTGGCTGAGAGGGAACAATTACTGATGCCTGAACTGGGAAATCTGTAGGACGGTTAGATTTAAAATTATTTTTTTCTGTTAAGAACTTAATTACTTGCTGAAAAATAGTATTCATATCTTTATAGAAGGGACTTTGAAGGTATAGGGCTTTTTCAGAGAAATCTTCCTCCTCCTTTTGAGCCTCAGGACACGAAAGTATGTAATTGAAGTCTGCATCACTTTCCACTTCATTCAAAGTAGAAAGGTATACACTTTCAGGCTCACCGAAAAGGTTTTCAAAATATTTAATTGCCTCACTTAGATCTTCATCTTTTTTTTCGCTCAATAAAATAATAAAAAGTTTTTCGAACATCATTTTCAGTACCTCATAGTGCTCGCACATGAAAAAAGTCCCTATACATTTTAAAATAAATTCTCGGCTGTCTTTACACTTTGCAATTTGAGGTGCTGCACTGCTTACATGTTGGGCGAAATTCTTAATTTTATGACTACAACAATTTTTAATTACAGTTATTGAACTTGTTAATACTGTGTTTCTTTTGCTAACTTCAGTGTTCACAAAAGTATGACAAAATTGCAGGTAATTAATGAGGGTCATGGTGTTGAACACTAACAAAACTGAATATAGAAGAGGGAAACTTGTATCTGTGACAATGAGATTGTTTTTGATGGGCCAGTGCTTATGAGCTTCCAAAAATGCCCTAACTTCTAAAAGCCACCCAGAAATCCGACAAGTGTCTTGCTGTGATAGCCAAGCACTTGCTAGTGTACATAACTTGCCTCTCAACCCAAAGCTGAGTGAGTAATAGAAGCATCTAGGGGTCCGGATGGAGGGGATTTTGTACGGTTTCACGAGAGAGGAAGTTGCATCAAGGTGTAATACTGGACCTTTTCCTTTACCTAGGTTGTCAGCAATATGCGTGGCGAATAACTCAAGCTCTTCGACACATTGTAAAAATCCAAAGAAGGGAAAACCCACCCTTTGTAAAAACAAATGATCTTCTGATTCCGTGTTTTCTCCTACCTCAACATTGTCCGGTAAATACTTCTTCATTTGTCCTACCCACTCCATTAACAAGTTTATCATTACATCCGGATGAAGATCATCTTTGGCAAAATATTCGGAGGAAATCTTGCGAAAGCATTCCAATGTCGTTACCGGGCCCAGATTTCCTTCCCTAATGAGGGAACTAGGCACTTGGGCTATTGCATTCTCTCTAACTTCAAAGGCACTCTTCGAAGCTAACACCTCTTTCAAGTCATCTCTGACAAAACCATTGATGAATCGTGTCTTCATCCTTCCAGCATGATTCACAATACCGAACTGAATTATAGTGAATTGCAACCTCTCCCCTCGTATTGGAAGTTGCTTGCTTAATAATTTGAAAGTTACGCAATTCTCATGTGCACAGTAACAATAAAAAGTTATGCTACGTTTACATACAGAGACAGATTGAACGTTAAGGACACAACTTGATAAGCCACTATTTAAAAAGAGGTTGCTTATGAGGGATGCATACTTTCGGGTGGTAAATTTATCATTATCCCAAGACCAGATTCTATCTAATACTTCTGAGGGGACTGTTAGGCATCCAAGTATGGAACCACCAGTCCTCGGCCATTTAAGAAATCTTCTTTTCTTCATGCCTTGCTTTGCATTTCTGGTTTTGCAAACAAGCGGTGAAGCTACATCGTTCACATTCAACTCCACAACTTCAAACGAATTTTTATCCAATAATAGATGTTCAGGCCTCGTTTCAGAAGTAACAATTGTAGGAGTTGTTTCACAAACAAGCGGTGAAGCTATATCGTTCACATTCAACTCCACAACTTCAAACAAATTTTCCTCCAATGATAGATCTTTAGGCCTCGTTTCAGAAGTAACAATTTTTGAAGAGATTGATGGATCAGCAAGTGAGGAAAGATTCTTTAATGGCTCCTTGACTCCAATTAAACTCTCCACTGATGATGAATTAGTTTCAAAATTGGCATGTACAGAAAATGGTATTGGTTCTATAGGTAAACTACAGTTTGGTGATGAAAGCGTTTCTTGAACTCCTGCGAGCAAAGAGGGTTGCTTATGGGTTGAGGTTCCTGCAGGGGAGGGATTTTGGAGGGAAGTGATTTGGTCATTATTTTCCAGCAAAAACTTTCGCAAAATTTTCTTCACCTTTAAACTTCGGACATCAACGTTCAGAGATTCACATAGCCTTTGGAAATCTTTTGATGTGAGCGTCATACAGGGAATGTCAGCAGCACTGAGATTTGCTGCTCTCAAGGCTTGGCTAACATCTTCTAATTTAAAGCTGCGTTTTGGGAAAACCTGTGGGAAAAAATTGATAACATTAAAATATTATAGGAGCAAGATGTAATGCATTTTACAGAGGGATTTGATTTAAGGTGCGTTGTTTTGGCGTGATTCTCTTGTTTTATTATTACTCTGTGCATTCTTGTTTCTATCTTTACCTACGAAACCGAGTTATTTTTGGCAAAAATTTCTGGTCAATGAGGTAAAATAAGCATGAGAAAACGCAAAATTCAAAGATAGTAGGTATGTAAATTAGAAAAAACTTCAAAGATAGCAGGTGTGTCAACTAAATAAATAATATTAGAAAGTCTTTTAAATTAAAAACTGAATTTCCTTAAATACTTTAAACGTGTGCTGTCATGAAATAGACTTTTTACTTGCGTAAAATAGACACCACAATAATTTAAATATCGGTTGCAGCTGTAGGAATAAATTTTGATAAATTTTAACGGTAGGACTACTTCACTTATGATCCTAACTACAATTTCCTAAATTTTGTACAAAATCCTGCGAGCGAGTTGGGGGAAAATATCAATTTTAGAAGATTCCTGCCACGGGCTCGATAAAAGAAATCTGAACCCTCTTTTGTTAGATACATAACATGCATAATAGTCGTTTCTGCAACGCACTCTAGCATTTTGCAACACCGCTCTGCGTTCTGTAGATACATGAATTTAATATTTGATGCAGCCCTTTGAGTCATCTGCAGCCTTTATTTGAAGTTCTGATTTTCACACAGGAATAAACAAACACTGCAAAGGAGCAATAATAGTGGTGTAAGAATGATTCCAATTTTTGCAGAAAAACATTGCATTCCAACACCACTCCAGGAAACACTGAAAAAAATTTTAAGTTTTCAAGAATTTGAGACACATCAACTCAAAGAGGTGTGTTGTTGGCTTGAGGCTCGAGGAATCTTTGTGGCGAATTTTATAAATTTACATGCTATTCCACGGATTTTGTCATAGGGAACATTTTTTTTTTTTGTAGGGATGTGTGAAAAGTCGACCAACCCCTACTTGGTGTATAGACATCAAAATGCACAACTTTGGAGACGATGCTCTCAAAACTTAAAAACTTGACATCCATTGTTGATACATGTATGGCTTGACATCGGAAAATTTCGCCGCGAAATTTTTAAAATGTGCTTAGGAATTTGAAAACCAGACAGAAGCACCGATCAAGACACCCTGATCACGAAAATATAAAGCGAAATTACGCGAAATCTGCCATTTTCCGGACTTATCGCGAAATCGCGCGGAATCGGAGAAATCACCGCGGAATCATCCAAATTTATCCGCGAAATCGGCGAAATCCGTACATTTTCGTGAAATTTACGTATGTATGCTTGTAAGACGAAGTTTGCCGCGCTTTTTTTCAAAATAAGAATTTACGGAGTTGTTTCTGAGCATTGGTCGTCATTGGCTACTAGCTATCGACGTTCGCCAATGGCATCAAAATACTAATGAAAGAAAGGGCGGCAACCAAGGCATAAACATGACCTCAAATAATTTTAACATGTGATCATGTGAAGGCTATATTTAAAACTGTCAAACGCAAAAAGCGCAACAAAAATAACGGCGAAATCAGCAAAAATAACGGCGAAATTCGGGGAAAGTAACCGCGAAAACGGGGAAAAATAAAAGCGAAATTTTCCAATGTCTACGTATGGCTTCAGATTATGCTTAGCTAAAGATTTACTTCTAAAAAGGAGAGTCAAATATTACCATTTTTCCGCAATTCAGCAATTCAGCAATCAGCATACATATGAAAGAGTATAACAATACGGCCATGCATCTGAAAGAATCAAGAGAAAGTGTAAGTGACAAAGGTGAATTTGCAAGGGTCTGAAATCTGATGAATTTCATGTTTAAGTGGAAACTACTGAGTGAACTGAACACGAAGATACCCTTGATTCGTAAATTGAGCAATTATTAGAGGAGATATGACAAAATAACCGATCCTGCTAAAATACATGTGTTTAAATGGGAAATGCCGCCCGATGACGTCAAACAGCAGCACATTTTCTCACTTTTAAATCGAATTTTCTCCAATTTCCCATGTCAGAAAGAAATGCCGCCCGATGACGTCAAACAGCAGCACATTTTCTCACTTTTAAATCGAATTTTCTCCAATTTCCCATGTCAGAAAAAAATTATGAAAAATACTGCAAACTCAGCTCATTAGGCACTTTCAGACGAAGCAATTACATTTTTTTGTGCAAAGTCTCTACTGAATAGGACTCAGTGGACATTCAGGTTGATAGGGGTTCATATAAGATGTTGTCTTAAAGGTTTTTTAAATGTCAGATTTAGATTTCAAGAAGTCCCATTACAGATACGAGACGTTAAATGCGGACAAGGGTGCAGATATTTCTTCCCCTTCACATTTTTTGAGGCAGCCTTCAGATTGCTGCCCAAATAAGAGAGCTCACTTCACTATTAGCTTTGTAAAAAAAGAGCAAGGTTCACAACTTTTTAATATAAAGGAGGGCGATACACAGTTTTCTTAGCAAAATGTAAAAAGCTGGGCACTTCTCTTCTCTGAAAATGATGCTAATGATAGTTTCCTTGACAAAAAGTAGTGCATTTAACTAGGGCTGTGCAAATAGTGAAATTTCCAAAGAAGTGAATAGTGAATAATTAAGTCAATTATTCATAACTACGAATAGTAATACAAATAATTAAAAATAACTTTTTTAACCGGGAAAATTCGCAAATATTGCAAAATACGTGTGATTCATCCTTTAAAAAAATTTCCATTTGCTGATACACCTGCACAGGAAAAAATGAAAGCTATGATACCAGCCTAGGCTGTTAAGAATGTGTTTGAACATCCTTGGATGCTGGCTTGACTGTCCTTGCCGTTACGTACGCATTACAGGATTTAAAGTTAATTGCGCAGGCAATCAAGATAGTATCTAAAGATCACCAGACACATTTATAGTACTTTAATTTTTTTTGGTGTCAATTAAAATATGCTTGTGAACAAGTTTTTTATTCTATGTCTGTGTTTTTAGTTGTGAATTGTTCACAGAATAAACTTTCAAGCTAATTTTACTTGAGTTCATGAATATCTCAATTTTTTCAAAGACTGCACTCATGTGCCTTGTCCTCCAAGCCCCTTAATGGTCTTTCCCCTTCAATGCTCCCTGCTGACTTCCCTTAAGAGCAAAATATTTGGATTATCTGAAATTTGGGGGGACATTAAGAAACTGTTTAAAAGCCAGCAAGAAATAGGGCCGAAGTACAAAAAAACTTTAGGACATGATAAAATGCAAACATGCAGAAAGACTGCAGCTAAAATTGGGTTTTAATCCCACTTTAAGCAAAAGTATTTAGTTTCCTAGAGAAAATGATAAAATTACAAGAAAGTATGTAAAAATACGTGTTAAAGTCTGCATTCTGAGTAAAGACGTCATATCAATAAAGACACAAGGATAGGTCGAAAAGTAGCACAGGCCAAATCGCAACAAAATCAGCAGCTTGGGAGTGTCAATTAAGAATTCCCCCCCCCCCCAAATCTTCTTCCCTGTTTAAAACTCACCAATGGGTCTGTTGCAAACTTTTGCTAGAGCAAAAATAAGAGTTGTCTCCTACAAATAATGCCTCAAAAATCATGATGAGCGCATCGGCAAAGTCTGAAATGCACCCATAACTTCACAATCTGCGCATGAAATTAGCGTTTTTTTAAGTTTCCCGCTTCAAAAATGATACTACGGCACAGGTGAACATTTTGTTAGAGGAGTTGCTCCATCATCGGCAATACTCATCATGGCTGATGCTTGCGCAGTTCCGCGCATAATTCGAGGAGAGTTCAAGGTCAATCAAGGCGGGCGGGGAAAATATGAACGTAAACTTGCCGATTGATATCTGATCTAATCCTGTTCAGGTGTTATCTCGTCCCATCACACGTGTTTTGGCCAATTGGAGTCGGCCATGATGAATATTGCCGATGATGGAACGACTCCTCTAACAAAATGTTCACCTGTGCCGTAGTATCGTTTTTGAAGCGGGAAACTCAAAAAACCGCAAATTTCTCAGGCAGATTGTGAAGTTATGGGTGCATTTCAGACTTTGCCGATGCGCTCATCATGATTTTTGAGGCATTATCTATGAGAAAAACTCTTAGTTTTGTTCCAGCAAAAGTTTGCAACAGGCCCATTCAAAACTTTTTAAGGGGCCAGCTGTTAAAAATAGAAAACAAATATAAAAACTGCCCTTAGCTACACTACATAAAAACCATAAGAAAAGAAACATTTCTATAACGCCACCCAAACTGTACGTGACAAGGTGGTAAAATAATTATGGGCCCGCACAATTTTGCGGGAAAAACAAGGCCAAAAAAATTACAAATTTCAATTGGAGTAAAAAGTGTTTGAGCTCTGATGAGTGCCAGTGCAAGACTGAGGAGGGTAGAATGTTCAGCTCCGGGAGTTTGCATTGCCGGGAGATCTATAACGTTCTGGGTCTTTATGCACCTCATCATTTAATTACACTAGTCAGTGAGCCCAACTTAGCATCCTGCAAAATCTTGCTAAGTCACTCAGCGTGACCTCAACTTAAAATTGCAATGCGAACTGCCTGAGCTGAACACCCCCCCCCCTTAGTCTTGTACTAGTAATCATTAGAGCTCAACAATTTGTGGCTACAATAGTTATTTTTTAAATTGTTGGCCTTTTTTTCCCCCTCAAAATAGTGTGGACCCGGCACTATTTTACTACCTTGTTACATAAAAACCATACTATCACTCACTACACACAAGGTTCTACTTCTTCACGCTAAGACATAGCACAATAAAACACTTACTTCGCCGAGTTGAAGCATTGTCAGAGCCTTTGTTGAGATAACTGGAGTAGATTCAGTCCTGTCTTGACATTATTTTTACATTCTTCACCTTCAACTTTGTCTGGTTCAACGAGCTTGTCCGAGAGTCACATAAGTAAATGAGCTGTAGGAGTTGATGGAGCTGGAGTAAAATGTTGTGAAATGCAGTCAAATGGATTGTACCATCATGTAGACTGAAATACAGGAAACAAAACCGAAGTTAGATGCATCCTCTAAAGCTTGAATAAATTAATTGCAGTGCTAGTTAACAATAATGTGTCCAATCAGAGCATCTTGGTGACATGTGACTGTTGCACAACGGCAGGAGAAGCGTTCTTACAGCTGGTGATCCAGCTCACGTGTTTTAAGTAGGTAATTTTCATTTCAACTACATTGAATGTTTGTGAGAGATTGTTGCGTTTGCTCTGAGGTATGTTGCTCCTGTTTTAATGATATACTTCAATGACTCAGGATGAGCAGATTCTATTTGAAAATCTTGAAAAAATACCGTGTTCAAGCGATTCTCCTCTTAAATAATAGGGATTAAATAGATCAGAAAACTGAAGGTGGAGGTAACTGTACAGCAGTACAATAATTTCCGATTTTAAATTATTCCCCTCCTTTTTCAGGCCTTTCACCCTTTAAAAAGTAAGAGCTAAGCAACACTCTTCCCATAAAAATGGAATTTTATTTGACATTCTTATTACTTACCTACTGAACTGGTTTTACTAATTTTCTGGATGTGAAGGACTGGACCTATTTTTGATTTAAAAATGTCTTACAACTGAAATGTGATTTGATATTAGCAAAACTCAGAAGATAAAGGTACTAACTGGTACGACATTCTAATCATTTTCCTATTTGTAACCTTGATTTGGAGTTTTCAGACCATAGTGCATTGTTAGTTATGCTTTCACACTCGATACTAAGTAGAAAATTCATCCAAAAGCTGTAAAAGGTCAGCTTACTTGCTAATCAATGTATCACCAGAGAGGCAACCCGTTTTGAGCAGGATTTTTGTTTGATTTTGAGGGTAAAAAGGGTAAGGAAGAAGGTAGCATGGATAAAGTTTGCTCTGATAAATAACTTTAAATTAATAGGGGAGGAGTCCACAGTATCAAAGTCTGTCAAAGAATACTTTGAAAAGTCCATGCTGCAGAATGAAGTAATATCGTAACTTGTGCTCTGCACTTGACTGTGTGTAAAATTTCTTATGTATTTGTTAGGATAACTTCTTACACATGTAAAACAGAGGAAAAAGTAAGAAAATCAGCGTGAATTTTGTGTTTATTATGGGCAAATGAAGTATTACATATATGACCACACGTACAGCCTGTAGCGCTACTTTACATAGAGTGCGTTACTTCCGCCAATTATTTACACCCCCCCCCTCTTCACACAACCTCATGTAAGGAACCCGTAAGGCAACATCTACCACAAAATATGCCTGAAAAATCACATGAATATGCAGGAGATCTGGCTGAAAAGAATCAATAGTCAATAAAAGATATTGTGAGAGAGGCTGGTGAAGCAGGCTACTTACTCATCAATATTTTTCCAATAGTTTGGGTGAGGTTTCTCTTCGCGATGGTGACACCGACCACAAAAAGGGAGCCTGGCTCAAATAACTGGAGCACTGTTTTGAGAAAAGAGGTCATCTCCAGATTCCACAATCCTGCAATGGGTCCTAGAAAAATAATCATACAGTAGAAATGAACTGATGCCATGTGAAATCCAGTATGAATATCAAGCAATAATGTGAATTTGTTTTTCTCTGAAAAAATAATCTACGCATGAGCATATTGAAATGCTACAGTTAAGATGTTGTTCAAAAATTCGATAGTGAAGCTATACAACTGATGAAAGTTAAGAGAAAAACAGTGATAACTGCGAATGATCGTGAAGTATTATTATTCATGATTGGAAGTATATGTCTTCGAATTTCTTCTCTTTAGCACGGTAAAAATTATTAGACAAAATTAGGAGTTCTCACTATTGAAGAACACTCATCAGGAATTTTTTTCCTTGGTGGATTCTGATGTATTTTCGAAAGAGAGAGTGAAAAATTAGCAAAAAATTCCTTGATTTCAATATTTTCTAAAGAATTTAAAAAAAAAAAAAAAAAAAAAAAAAAAAAAAAAAAAAAAAAAAGGTTTTGAACATAAAAGAGAAAAATCTGATTTTCTGGAAAACAGGCGCATGGAGAGGGGAGGAATTCATTTTTGGTTTCAGAGATGTATCGTGTGAAATAATGCACTTTTGGTATAAGCACCTCAGCAGGTCGATTATCGAATCGATATCGAATGACCTTGATCGATAGAAAGCATTCATAGGATAGGGATTTATCGTTCAGAATCATTCAATACCGATTCAACAATCGACCCCCAGAATATTTTTTAATTTCTGACCATGAAGTTCTTTCAGTGGAACGAAAAAAATTGCTCATTAGGAACGGTAGAGAGGTCATCAGATTGTTATGCTTTTAGAGAGAAGGGTGAACATTTTTGCCAGATATCTAAATTATGCTACTGAGGCAGTAAATCATTTTTAATGTATTGAAAATAATTTGTTTTCCCTTATACCAGTTTTTGGGTGACCCAATTTCCAAATAATGTTGTACTGAGCAAATGTGATGGATTCGTTTTCTGTTAAATGGGAAAATGATGGAAAAATAATAACATTATTTTCCAGCTCACCAGGTAAAATACCATGGAGCCTCATCAAAAAAACATTCCATCCTTCCTTCTTGGTGAACAACAATTAGATTAATGTTACACGGTGCCTGATGTGTTAATCAAGCCGTATGTCTGAAAGAACTCTGCTACAAAAAGGGCCACAAAGACTCTCAGATATGCTGCAGCAACAGTATCAATTGCTGAAGCCAAAATTAACCTACGTTGCTCCTTAACATACAGAAAATTGAATTCCTCTGAAAAGCAAAATATATCAGGTCACTTTAAATTTTCATCTACTTCACTCTTAGGGCGTAGGCTTTCAACCCTGCAAGACATGACTGGCTGTAGCTGACTACATAGACTAAAATATTGTACTTTCGGGTGTGGATGGTCAAATTTATACCTCCACATTTGCTGGGAATATACAATGGTCAACATGGATCCGTTTATCACACATCTAGTGATTGATTCAGGGAGGATTTTTAGCCTAGGATCCAACAAAGGGCTTCCGTTTATCAAAGTCCGATTGATTTTCCCCAAAAAACTCGGAATTTTCTCAAGAAATTGAATCTTTTTTAGAGAAAATATAATTTTCCGGAAAATCTGTACATATTGGAGAAAAACTAAAGTCATATCCGATTCAGCAGCTAAAAATTAATCATCAGCTGTGAATTGCATGATTATTATAATATCCCCTTTGTTCCTAAATCACGATTTTCCAGTCAAATGCTCTCCATCAATTAAGGGTTTCCCTTTATAGGAGATGTAAAGCTCATCCAATCGTTTTGCATCGGGAAAGAAGGGCAAAAAATTCTCAGTTATCAAGAAGGCTAACACGATTTAATTGACGTTAAAGTAGAAACTGACCCTAGTTTTTTCCACCACGTTCCTAACGTTTCGAAAAATCGAATTTTAACAAGATGCATTTTTTCAGCTCCGAAATAATTCCCTATGAAAACTTGATTTTCCAAAAGTTTTGAAAAAAAAGAAAGAAGCCAGGGTTAAGGGCGGAAGAGAGCATTTGACTAGAAAATCTTGTTATAAGAACAAGGGGGATATTAAAATAGGCATGAAATTCATGGTTGATGATGGATTTGTAGCTGCTGAATCCGAAAATGACTTTAGTTTCTCTTTAATATGCACAGGTTTTTCAGAAAATTGAATGTTTTCTGAAAAAGCTCCATTTCTTCTCCGAAAATTCTGCGTTTTTCGTGGAAAACGCAGGTCATTTTCGGAGGCAGGGCTAATATCTACCAACAGGATAATATGACCAAATTTTCAGTAAATCTTTAAAACAGAGGAAAAAAAATTGTTGACCAGCAACGCTTAAACTTCAGAAGGAATAATTGCACCTAAGTAATGAATAAAAAAAATGACTGACGATTGGTGACAAGTGGTGTACTTATTTGAGAGAAATTTTTTTTGAGGAGTCTTATGCAAGAAAAGCCTTTATGTTTTGCAATGCTGCAAAGATCGTCCTACTTTACTTTAATATTGTAGCAACCAAATCATTTGAGGCAAAATCTTCCAAGAACATTAGTTTTACTTGCTAGATATTTTTACATGCATATGCAATGCATGAATAATTTTGTAAATTTCACGAATGAATAATTTTGTACAATATTACATTCATCAGCACTGCATCTGCTTGTATAAAATTTAAAACAAAAGAAAAAAAAAATCTACCATTTCTCCGCTTAAAAAACTGCTTTTGTCTTAACCACGCTGCAATTTTATAGAACATACGCACATTTTCTGAACACGAAAACACTCAGGATGTAATAGGTATGTTCTTTGCCATCACCGTCAGGATTGAAGTATTCAGTATATGAGTTTGAAAAAGCTATGGTTTTTTTTTCTTTCTTTTTTTTGAGATGAGTGATTTTCACAAAGTTTTTATTTTGACTCAAAGAGATCCCTATGCCTAAGCTTGTTAAGTTTATGAGATAGAGTAATGAAAAGACGTACCTGCATCACCACAAGAAAGTAATAACAAGGATCAGACTTTGGGACGGATAAGTAAAAATCGAACTACAAATACCTCGGATTAGACGTCGTCAAACGGCTCGAGTGTAATCGGCCTCCGGGTTGTGAAAGCTGCTACAAGAAGTCTTCACCATGAGTGCAAAGGGGGTGAGAAATGGAAGAAGAGAAAATCAGCGATGGAAAAACGGAAATAGACGGCACGACGGGAGCGGGCGGACGGACGAGAGGAGTAAGGTGCGGAAGGAGGGGGAAGGGGGTGTTCGTCACCTTCGGTCAAGACAAAAGAAAAGGTTCTACCTTACAGGCTCGGGTGCGAGCCTCAGGTAAAGCTCCGGGCTCGCGGTATTGTTTAACACCCGTTCGGCAGCCAGTGGAAATCTTGGCCGCTTATGAGTCACTGGTCCTTTTTCCAATGAAATTTCCAGACTCCGAGGGGAATGAAAAGACGACGGTTATGACTGAAGTATGGAAAGGACGATTGGACATTTGGACAATGAAGTGCACTGCAAAAACGCAGTATGAGCATTCGGATGTTGCCAAATGTCCCCATATGAAACATTCATTAAGGAGGAAAGTTATACTAACTTTTTGTCTGAAATTCGAGTAACGTTGATTGAATTGCGAATTGCGGACTCTGAAAAATCGCGAGATACCTACTTAAGTACTTACCTTCAAATCGAAAAGCAGCTGTCAACTGTAGCAAGGGAATCTTTTCTTCGGCCGGGACGTAGCAGCCGTGCTGGGTCCGATGACCGATGGTGAGAAGTGGAAGAACACGCATCTTTCTTGGACTGATCCGAACCAAAATTGCAGCTGAAAATGCACCATAGTATCATTAAACAAAGACAACGGCAAATTTTCTTGGATTCAAAAATTCCCTCACCCTCTAAGGTTTTCAAACGTAAATTTCCTCACTTTTCAAAGTTCTTTTGTAAGCATGGTTCTTTTAAAAATTCTTCGAAAAATTTTGAGCGTAGGTACGGTCTCTTGTATGTACCTACTTATTACTTGAAAAAATTGTAATACTTCAGCTCCAAGAAAAAATGTCTAAGTTCCGCAACAAAAGTTTCTTGCTTTTCAGGGTTGAGAAAAATTGCTCGCTCTTCCGGGTTTCCCTTGATTTTTCAAGAACTTTTTCACATTCAGGAAAGATAGGGTCCGAAAGGTTTGATTAGCAGTTCGGTCTCCTCGTATCAACATTTCTTTCTGAAAAAACTATTGCATTTATTGGGTTTTTATTTTTGTTACTACTAAGTAATTTGACGGTTAATTAACAAAGCTCCAAGCGACCAAATTACCCAAGAAAGCCAGGAATTGGTTGATGAGGAAGTTCAAGGAAGGGCGAAAATCGAACCAGTAACATGAGTATTTAAACAAACAAAAAAAAAATCTTTGAAGCCTTGGTTTAAAACGAGAGCTTGTGCGGTGAGGGTGCTTAACTGATCAAAACCTGGGATCCGAGCCGGATTTACGGTTGTGCCACCCGAGTCCGAGGCCCCCCGCCGACACGGCAACAATCCGCGAGGGCGGCAAAATCTTGACAGTAGAGGGGCGACAATTACGTGCGAATAGTTGCGCGCTTGATTTCCACACTAATAAAGGATGCGAATATAAGGCTAACATTCATAAACGTCAGTAATTTGAGACATGTGAAAAGCTAATATTTTCCTTCATTTTCGCGTGATACCACATCACATGCCTACTCCAGAGCATGGCTGGAATTAAATAAAAAGGCGGTCGAGGCCGCGGTCTATGGCGGCAAATTTTGGAGGGCCACAAAATATGCAAGGACAGAAACACGAAGATTGGGCGCTGCCGTGGACACCGTGCTGCCGGAAGGGCGGCGCGGCATCGTGACGAAAAGGGTCCGAAAATCTGCATAAAAAATGTGATGGGTACGGCATGACCCCCCCCCCCCCCCCNCCTCCCGGCGACACTTCGTGGGGGCGACAATTACGTTAATCCGGCCATGGTCATGAATGGAACTCTCAGGGGACGTGATCAATGACCGTTTGTACCCGTACCTACATATATCTACAGCTGGATAAGTGATACCAGTGGTTATTGCCGGTATCTGTTATCTATCATGGTTATCCGTTGCTTCCAATAATTTCAAAGATGCTCCTAGCAGGAGTAGCAAAAGAAGCAGCGAGTCCTATGTCAAAGAAAAACTGACATACATACATTTCCTCTAGAAATGATCAAAGAATTTTCTTTCTTTGTTGAAAAATTCACAGAAAATTTTAAAAAAATCGAATAATTTTTTCTTACATGGTTAAACATAGTTGGAGATTTTTGAACGTTGCAATGAAGATGCGCATTTTAAAGTTTTGCCATCCATGTGATAGGATATTATGCAATTCATTAGGTAGGTAAAATTTTTTGGAAATTTTAAAAAAATAGATTTTTAACTTAAAAGTACCTATCAAATCTACATTACGATAAGACATATCTAAAAGTAAAGATGTATTTGCAGCAAAAGTAATTCCACTGAAAGGTATCATTGATCGTATGGGACGAGGAGCTTTCAGTTGAAAAATTTATGTGGGTGATTTCACAATGACAGGAATAGCTAAAATGTGCAACACCTCAAAAATAAAAGTGCACCAATTTTAACCAAATTTCATTAGGTACTTCATTTTAGAGGTATTAAACTTCCTCTTTCAAGATTTGGCACGAATTATTTTGATTTAGTACAATGTGATAGCGATTGACACACAAGCCTTTGAATCAGGTGTCAGCTCTCCCCGCAGGACTCCTGGAGGTCCATGCAAACATGCCGGCCCCGCCAAATTGTGTCGGTTACATAACCGACCCAACGTAGCCGACACTTGAAAATGTGAAATAAAAGATGATACAAAAGATGAAACTTGGCAATTCTTGAGATATGAAGTTGAATTAATGCTGCCTTAAAAGTTTTCTGAACTTTAGGGACTTGCTTTTAGTTTAATAATATTAAATTGAGGATTTAGTGTAGTGTGTAATTAGTGATACAGACCTAAAAATCATTGGTTTTCATAAAAATTAAAGTTTGCATTGTAGAAAAATAGACCTATTACATTAGAAATGGTTTGGTGGAGGAGACTTCAGCGAACAATTTGATGACAGTTTTGAGACTCTTGGTTCCATCTGGCAAGATAAACACTGCACTTAATACAAATGTAAAAATACATTGCCAAACGTGGCAACATTCTTTCTAGTGACTTTTCTCGCTTAAAAATAATTATTTCAGTTCAAAATGGCAATTTTCTTGAACATTAGCTTCTCCATACAGCAAATAGTGTCAAAGAATCCATGATCAGTACTGATTGACTATCGCAAATTGCTCTTTTGCTTCAAAATCAGGGTTGGCGACGCGTCACCGACCAGACATTTTTGACCTTTAAAGTCTCATGTCATTGAATGTTATCATATTGCATCATATTTTTTAGCATGGATAAGTGCAGAGACATCATTTCTATTGATGTATTAACTTGGTTTTTAATTGTTTTGCCCTAAGTCGTTTATAACCCACGGCAATACGACTATTCCTCTTATCTTGAAATCAACCATGTGTCATAAATTATTACCTGAATTTGATAGGCGATACAGTTTTGAGACAGACATTCACTTCCTGTGAATCCCATTATCTGAACATAACTTTAAAGGAAACTTAAAATGTCTCTGATCAAAAAATTTTTAGTTATACCATAGTAAGTAGCCTGAATACTAGGATTCTCTTCAGGGATAGTTTAGTAAGTATTTGCTGTTCTATTATTATCTTTTACCTCATGCAATAATAGTACCTATTGTGCTAAACTTTTGCAGGTCCTACGGTTAGGTATGCTAGAAGTTTCTGTGGTTGGGGCATCCATGAATATGAGTGATGCTACAGATGGAAAAAAAGGAAGAGAAAGTTTTTGATCATTTCTTACCTGATTTCGATCCTATCTCCAAACCAGGGAATTAAGTCTTTGGATCTATGCACTGAACTTCGAAACTTATATTCTTTACTCTGCATTGCCTTTTTCATAGTTCGGCTGCTCATAGAGTTGTCTTGCAGTTACTGTGCTCCCTCGACAATGTAAGTAGAAAGAGGAATTGGACGAGCTGTATTGAATGTTAGGCAATTCTTAGACCCTGAAATAAATTGGTAATTTGAATTAGACACAGTTATAGCAGTATTCACTTAATTATTCCTGGTATATCATGATATAATATGTAGTAATGATTTTGGAAAGAATGAGCAAACCAATGGTAGGTATGGGTTTCACAAAATTCTGAAATTGCTGTTCTCATAGGATACTGTTTGCTTCATCTATTTACTAAATGCAACTGAAGGTTCTCATTGACATTTCAAGATTTCTGAGTGTTTGGTGCAAACATTAGGTATTCATTTGTAAATATACAAATAATTGGGTGATTCAAACAAAGTCTAATGATGCCGACAGTACGGCAAAATTCCACCGAAGGGTTCCAAGTTGACCTAAAATAATGTTCCAGAAATGACTATAAATTCTCTTGTGGTCTTCACGATATATCTCTTCTAATACTATATGTTATGCTTGATATAACATTTGTATAACTCTTCACGGTGAGATAATGTTCCTTCAATAAAAAAACATGGGCAGGTATTCTCAGTCATTAGTAGGTTAGTTTAGAAAGAGTGAAGCTGTGTTGTTGAAGTAGATGAATCTGATTCCGTTTGATTTTCCTGTTTGCAAACGCAACCTCACGGTCCCCATTAATCTCCAGCAGGCTGATTATTGAAAGTTTAAAGCAAACCCCATAAGATATCGTATTGCGATATATTGCATGGTGAAGATAGGGCTATGTCTTGTCATGTCGGACAGAAGGAGTTTCAATAATCCGGCCACAGAGGTTGATTAGCGTTCAATAGAACTGTTCGGCATTCATATGTACCCGCACAAGTCATCGTGTAATTCAAACGGAGTCCAACAACAACAACCGCTTGTGATTAGGTAATTCCATTTAAAAACGGTCCCAAATAGTTAACTTCGACAACGCAGCTTCATTTCTTGTATGCTGTCCCTTTTTCATGCACTTGGTCTCACTCAGTATTTTCATGCATGCATATCTCAAAAAACTTACCTTTTGGAGTCCTGATGCGACACCATGGAAATTGAGCTGCACTTGTAGGAATTGAATCAGTACTAATAAAAAAACACAAACACTCAAGGCGAGGACATTGAGGACAGTTGCAGGGCGGCTCACCACCAACAACATTGACATTTGAAATCCAGATCCTGCTTTCAAGGTAGCAGAACTTCAGGATAGATTTGGATTGGAGGCATTTCTTACTTCATAGAAATTAGTAAACTTCACAATAGTATTACATTTTTATTTACTGCCATTTCCCTTTGAATTATAGGCAAACTAAAGACTCACAATCAGTGCACTGCTACACGCGATTTCAGCTTGACAACGTATAAGTAACCGTTCGATGTCGTTCAAATTTACATGCAAATGCAACCCATGCTTCTAGTGAATTTTTATCAGTATTCATTTGGGATTGGGAACCACTCATTGCCACTATATGTTTACATTTTGTTTCGATATATATCGATATGTACTGGGTGTTCAAAAAGTAGTAGTTTCTTGGCAGGGATCTTCATTGGCAGCTTCACGGACGTCTAGACTGACCAGTCTAGGGGGTATTGCATAGACTATGAATCAAAGACATTGAATCAGGGCTGCCAGAAACGGGACTTGAGAAAGTGCACAGAATTTGAGTCCAAAGTACAAAATAATCCGAAATTTTGGGGGAAAGTACAAAATAATCCGCGAGAAAGAAAGTACACAAATAGTACACATTTTTTTCAAATATACACAAAAGCACGCCAAAAGTACTTGGAAGTCTACAATTTGATCCCACGATTGAGTAGATAGGTAGAATCAACCATTGAATAACAGAGAGGGATTTCTGCGGGAATTTTAGCCTAATAAATTATTTGCGCCACTAATTCGGCGGGAAATTTTAAAAATTCTTTGAAAACTCGAGATTATTTCCTAATTTTGAAAAAAATTTTACACAGAGTACACAAAATTCGGCGAAAGTACACAATTAATCCGAATTCTGAAAAGTACAAAATAATCCAAAACGAAAATCGATAGTACACGTGTGTACCGAAAGTACACGTTCTGGCAGCCCCAAAGACATAAAGACGGAGTGCTCGTATCTAAAAGCACGGGGAAAAAGTGAAGCTAGGTTCGGCGCTGCGCGTTTGTGTGAGTGTGTAAATGAGCGCGGGAATTCATGGCGGCAAACGGAAATTTGATTTGAACTTGTCCTCTTGATTTTTCCTTATTTCTTCTTCGAAACGTGTTTTAAATGCTTAAAACGATTATATTAAGAAAGTTCGGTCTGCGTCCTAATATATTACACCTACTTTTGCTCGGTAACAGGCAGTAATCTCAGATAAAGTTAGTTTTTCTTCTGCTTATGGTGGTTCTACAGGTTCAAACAGGCCGTTACAGTTCTAGATCTACGTTACTCCCAAATGAAATCAGTCGGTCGACGACGGACCGAAACTAACCTAAAGTTAATAAAATATGAGTGTGTACCTGAATTTGGGCAAAAATCAACCTAAAATACTTTGTTTCCGCAATTTTATTTATTAGTTCCCGCCCTACATTTGAATTCAAACTTGTCCCGATTTCGCCGCCAATCCTCTAGCCAATAGTAGAGGTGATTGAAAAGAAGCTCTAGAAGCTTCATTTTTTGCTTTTAGTGCTCCGTCTTTATGTCTTTGGGCAGCCCTGAGTGAAAGCTTGCAGCCAACTAAACGGCAAGGAACAAAAATCTATAACTTTGAGAGAAAAAAATTGAAAACTCGAGATTATTTCCTAATTTTGAAAAAAATTGTACACAGAGTACACAAAATTCGGCGAAAGTACACAATTCATCCGAATTCTGAAAAGTACAAAATAATCCAAAACGAAAATCGATAGACAACTCACTTTTGGTTGGCCTGAAAGTGGCCTAAAAAAAAATCCAATTCTGATTGGTTCTCGCTCATGGAGGCCGAAACGAGTGCACCAAGATGGCGGTACCTCGAATGTGAACAAGAATAATGAAAACATTACCTAATTGTGGTTTATCAAGAGTAAATTGTTATTTCCATCGGTCCAAAATGAAAATAGATTAAGAAATTATTCACAAACCAATCTCATTTTCTTTTTAATTGATCAATTTGTTGATGTTGTTGTTTTTGTGTGACAGACATCGCAGGATTCCTGATCCTTATCCCTCAATATCGTTCGTTTGGGTGCACTCGTTTCGGCCTCCATGGCCAGCCAAGGCCGGCTGCGAGTCAGCTGATAATCGAGTTGTCTTAACTCTGGGTATAAAGGGACTCTAATCGATAGTACACGTGTGTACCGAAAGTACACGTTCTGGCAGCCCTGCATTGAATAGAGTAAAGACGGTGCGCGTGCGCTGCAAGGCGGATAAATCCGCCTTGCGTGCGCTGTGGCTGTGAAATGGAGCGGTGGCCACTTCTCTTCCATTCTATAGGTACTCTATTCCATTCGCTATTATGGAACGCCGTTAGTGTCAAAACTCTTTTCTTGCGCGCGCGGAATTATTTTTTCTGGCGCGCGGAATTTTTTTTCGGCGCGCGGAAGGAAAAAACCCGTTTTCGATGAAAATCTCTGAATCTCCAGATTCCGCGCCGGTTTTCGATATATTTGCGCCGTTTGTGTCAAAACTATTTTTGTCGGCGCGCCGCTTCAAATCTGTTCCGCGCGCGGAATTTTCGATATATCGATTCCTGCTCGCCGTTTGTGTCAAAACTATTATTTTTTCCGGCGCGGCGCTCCAAATTAGACTCCAAATTTGTTCCGCGCGCAGAATTCTTTATATCTCGATTCCTGATCGCCGATCGTGTCAAAACTGTTTTTTCCGGCGCTGCACCAGAAAATAATTCCGCGCGCCACTTTTCCGAATTATTTTCTGGTGCAGCGCCGGAAAAACCAGTTTTGACACGATCGGCGAGCAGGAATCGATAAATCGAAAATTCTGCGCGCGGAACAGATTTGGAGCGCCGCGCCAGAAAAAATAATAGTTTCGACACAAACGGCGAGCAGGAATCGATATATCGAAAATTCCGCGCGCGGAACAGATTTGAAACGGCGCGCCGACAAAAATAGTTTTGACAAAAATGGCGCAAATACATCGAAAACCGGCGCGGAATCCGGAAATTCAGAGATTTTCATCGAAAACGGGTTTTTTCTTTCCGCGCGCGCAAGAAAAGGGTTTTGACACTAACGGCGTTCCATAGCAGAGGATCGATAATGGAAATCGTTCAAAAGAGAGATAATATTCTCCGCGCGCAGAAAAATCGATATATCGAAAAAGTGGCGCGCGGAATTATTTTCTGGTGCAGCGCCGGAAAAACCAGTCGGCGAGCAGGAATCGATATATCGAAAATTCTGCGCGCGGAACAGATTTGGAGCGCTGCGCCGGAAAAAATAGTTTTGACACAAACGGCGCAAATATATCGAAAACCGGCGCGGAATCCGGAAATTCAGAGATTTTCATCGAAAACGGGTTTTTTCTTTCCGCGCGCCGAAAAAAAATTCCGCGCGCCAGAAAAAATTCCGCGCGCGCAAGAAAAGGGTTTTGACACTAACGGCGTTCCATACCCATGGCCCAATGCGCGGTCTAGATTGTATTATACGTCTATAATGTTCCTATATATTCTCACAGATTAGTCCAGATCGCTAACATCGGCGGAAGAGCGTGAGTAGCTTTGTGAGCGCCATTGGCGGGAATATCCATGGGCATTTAAAACTAGGAACCAAAACTGAAATTTTGGCTATTTTCAGCAGCTTTTCGGCGGGAGAATACTTCTTTTTCAGATTTTTGTGGGATGAAACGTTCCGAAGAATTCAAGAATTAGTTTCTTAGTAGAATTTATGTGGTTCAATATTTTTCCAGATTAAATAATTAAGGTGGAAATAAATAAAGAAGGAGAATTAATTAAAATACGAGTAAACAAGGCTAAAAATTATTGAAACACTAAAAGGTAAGACGTTTCGAGCTGCTTCCAGCTCATTTTCAGCTGCAAAAACACATAAAAACAAG